ATGATGATGTAGTAGCTGCTGATCGCTCGTCTGGTGGTTCCTGATGCACGGATATAGGGCGATGCTCATCTAAGAACTCTTCAAGACTCCAGCATGACTAAGAAAAATGTTTGAAAACAAATTGCAATCAAATTCTATGATATATTTAAAAGAACATTTAAAGTAAATATAACACACTCAAGAAATCTAAACTCACCTTTTGAAAATCTTCATGATGATCCACAACTTGACTCTCCCAGCTGGTTGAGGTGACAGGATATGGAAAAGTAGAAAAAACACACACATCACTGTTGGATCTCCAAAAACAATTAGGTTAACCACTATGACTAGAACTGGAAAAACAGGCAGCTGTCTGTCACGAATCCTGAATTGAACACAACACTTGGAGAAAAATTTGGAGGAGCTTAAAATCTTTTATATCATTTAGTGATGCTGATTTCCCCAAAATATTGGCCATAGTGTAAAAAATATTCATAAACTTCATAAACTTACAGTTTTCTGTAAGCGTGTGCGTGCATGCGTGTGTGTGTGTGTGTGTGCGCGTGCGTGTTTCTTTACCAGATTCAACTTGTTAGGCCCTTTCAGGTCCAGTATTGACGCCACCTTTACTGGAGTCTAGCAGATGTTTCAGGTCCAAATATAACCTAAAATATTAGGATAAGCAGATGAGGAAAAGTGCAAAGTAAAGAGCAAAACATTATTTAAGTAACAGTTCACCCACAATACAAAACTTATCACCTCCATGTCATTTGTTATTCTTTAATGCTCTAATACCCTCTCAGCTTATTGTGAAACAAATACAGAACTTTATCAAACATACCTTCATTATTATCACCACATATGACCAAGAAGGTGTGCTTGGTCATTTCACCAACTCTGGAAATACACCATCCGTCTCTAATCAGCTACCGTCACAGGGTCTTGTGTTATTGTATAGAGAACTGTGGCTGTTAAAAAAACAACAAAAAATTTGTAACTAACACATATGCATAACCTTCAGATAAAAAAGAGAGATGAACATCACAAAGTATGCCTCACACTTTTTCAGATATCTTTTGATTCAGATGTTGATTATTGATATTAAATCTACAAATCAAACCTGTATCATCATTAGGCTGCTTAAATATGAATCAGTTGATAAATTTTACAGACAGGTGGCTGTTTACAACGCACTAAATTGTCTTTAATAAAAAGAAAATGTTGTGTACAGTACATGCTAAGTTTAGCCTATAGTTTTAAGCACAATATCATGCAGGAGAAAAAGCTTGACTAAGATGTTCCTGACTACATAAATAGCCTAACTTACTAACGTCAGACAGCCCGAGTTGGGAAAAGTAATTTTCGGGGGATACAGAGTTGATTTGCGGGAGGTAAGTTAGCGGGAGAAATGAGTACCTAAAGAGCAATGGGATGAGTTGCACGCGACGTACCTAAACAGCGGTGGGGGTGACTTGCGCGCGACGTACCTGAAGAGCTGGGAGGGATGCGGTGGAGAGGGGTGTGCAAAGTGTTTAATGACCGGGCGGGAGACGCGCGATTTCCGGGAGATTATCATTCATTTGCGGGCATCTACTTAGGCATCTGGGAGTCTCTGTGCATTTGCAGGATAACGTTAACGTTAGTCCCGCAACTTCCGGGAGACTTCTGTAACCTTAAAAGTCTGAGAAAGTGCAAACGCGGTCATTTAAAGACATTAATGTTAACATTCCGACTTTAATGGTTGTCAACGCTTAATATAATTCAAGCGTACGTTATCACGCGAGTCTATCAACTGACGTTAACGGTAATATGGACGGCCACGAATGAACTAGTTTAAAAGGGCCGCATGTTTAAAATAACCAAATTAACATGCACGAATAACAAACAATCATATGTTTTAGTCAGGAAGCCTTTTACAAGTAAGCATATGTTCATTTACTCACCAGATATGTTTTAGAAACTCTCCAGAGCTCATGGAAACCGTCCAGTGTTGCCGTTAGCATCCGGGCAGAGTAGGCTAACGTTAGGCGGCTCCGGGGATTCCCTCGCTAGTTTGCTTGGAATTAAAGGAGAAGTGTCGATTTTATTTTACAGATGGGTAACAACGCACAAAATGGCATTAAGCGTGACAGAAATGTGTTGAACATGTACATTTGATGTTTTTATGCACTATGTATGCGTGAGCATATATAAAAACATTCTTGAAAAGAAGTCAATAGTAATGCAGTTAAGCTAGATACACAAACGACCATGAATGAACCGCAGAAGATTAAAATTGTCACTCTATTCTAAAGTTATTAACTTAACAATATGTTTACAACTGTATTTCCTTAGAGAAAGTCAGTAAAATACCAACATTTAGGTAGTTTGACTCACCAGTTGCTGTTCTAAACCTCAGATGGAAAATGGCGTCTGGAAAGTTCTTCAGTGACTGGGGCTCCATGAATTCCCGGATGTTGGAAATAACACCACCAAGTGTTGAAAAGATAACTCCTTGATTTCGCACTGAATAAAATCAATTCTAACTCTTATTATATTCATTTGTCAAAATCTAACTCTTTAACGTCAACACTTTACTCTGAAATGCATCAACACCGAGAAATTAACTCAGATGAATTTGCTGTGCAGTTTGGTATGTATGCGATTGCTGCTGAAGTGGATATTAATGGCTCAGGTCATTTTAAAGACGAACTATGTGCTGTAATTTAGATCTACATAGGCACTTTTCAAATTTATTTACAAAAAGCCTAAACTCTTAATTGACTGATATTGCCTACATTAGTTAGCATAAAAACAAAAACAGTGTAGCATGTAATAATGACATACCGTAGACGGATAGAATGCAATACAATGTGATTATGAGGCATAATTGACTATTTTAATGAGCTCTACAGTGCCTGGTTGCACTAGTATGCATTCATTAAGATGAAGGCCATGGCTTGTGTTGTAGCACCACAGCCTTGGCAAGAAGGTTAGCAGATCTCTAAGGTGCACTTTGATTGCCAATATGAAGCAGGGCTCTACCCTCCTTATAGGTGCTTTTCCCAGTCCATTATATATATTTACATTTGTGGTCAGTCGATAGAGGTTTTCATCCTGGTTCTCTCTGGAAAAAAAAAGATAGATAAGTTGGTCACTTTAACCCTCATAATGCATTGAACCAAAGGAAATATATATTTTATCCATTTATGTAACATTTAGTAAGGGAATATAATTTTATTTTATATTTTAAGGGAATATAATTTGCATTTAAAGGCCTCAAAATACAAAAATAAATTTGCATGTTTCTGTTTGGATTATTTTCCTACTATTAGGTGCCAAACGTTTATTGCCAAGTTATCTATAATGTTATATTATCATAAAACTTTGCAAAATGTTCCTAGCTTATTCTTAGCTCACACATACTCTTTTGGGAATAAACTTTGTTGATTAACATAAATATGTATGCCTATTGACAAACTATTGCAGCATGAGATCAATGATTTTATCATAAGAAGGTAAAAGTTTATGCAAGTAAAATGAATTTATTTAGTCTGAAAACTTTTCAGAGTGATATTTATGTTTGTTCAGAAGTATAGGTTCCATAAACGTGGACTGTTTTTGAGCAACATTCATTCATGCATATTTTGCTTAGTCCCTTTATTAATCAGGGGTCGCCACAGCAGAATGAACCGCCAACTTATCCAATATATGGTTTACGCAGTGGATGCCTTTCCAGCTGCAACCCAGCATTGGGAAACACTCTTACAATTTTGCATTCTCACATATACACTACAGACAATTTAGCTTATTCAATTGACCTGCACCACATGTCTTTGGACTGTGGGGAAAACCACCCGGATGAAACCCACGCAAACAAGGAGAAAACATGCATAATGCCAACTGACCCAGCCGGAGCTCGAACCAGAGACCTTCTTGCTGTGAGGCAACCTTGCTACCAACTGCGTCAATGTGATGCCTTCTTGAGCAACAATAATTTAGAAATTCAACAGAAATAAAAAAAACAAAAAAAAACAGCCTTTTTATTTTAAATATCAACTAATACCAGTATAATTAGTCATTTAATTATTAAAAAGTTACCAATAATACACATGGTTTGCGTTGAAAAATAAACTAATTGTTTTCTAAAACAGAAAAAGCTGTTCTGAATGTAAAAATTACTGTCTCTGGCCTCTGGCGCCTAGACTGCAGCTTTGCACAAGAAGTTTGGCCAGAAAAGAAATGTTTGTGCCCAATTGAGACTGGTTTTTCTCAAGATTTTTTCCCCCTTCACTTTTGTCAATTGGTGAAGTTTGTTCCTCGCCACTGTTGCCACTGGCTTGCTTGGTTTGTGACTTGTAGAGCTGCATATCGATAGATTTACTCATGAGTGTTTAGGCTTTCAGCAGTGAAAATTATACCACAACATTCAACTGAAAACTGGACTAACACATTTACTAGAACTTCTATGTTAAGCTGCTTTGACACAATCTATATTGTAAAACTGCTATAGTAATAAAAATGAATTGAATTGAATGCATTACAAATGGTGAAAGTCTACAAAAAACAAAAAAACAGAAGTATTTCACTGGACCGCAATAGTGACAGCATATTGTATACAATACTGAATGCATCTAATAGACACAGAAAACAAATTTCATTGAAAAGTGTTTATCAGCATTTTTTTTTCACTTTTTCACTTACTTTTCGAGTGCCTTAATTGGATGATTTTTTCTGATGATCTTAAAAAACAAAAAACAAAAAAAAAAAACGACACATTAATTAACCCAGATTCACTTTTAATTAGTTTTTTTTTTTAATCACAATTTTGTCATTTTATTTCATTAAAATACACAGTTACAGGACATAATCAAGGAGAAGGTTTGAAGCAGACAGACATCTGATCGCTACTGGCTGTCGTAAGTCACCCGTGCATTGACATATTTTTCTGTCCCCTCATATAAATTGTACTCATTTGGTGCCATCTATATAGGCAGCACACTGGGTTTTGAGACACAGCTCAGCAAGCTCTATCTCTCTCTTTGAGACACAGCTCGGCTCGCTCTCTTTCTCTCTCACTCTCGATCTCTGCTCAGAGTTTGATCTTCACTCAGTGAAATCTGACTCTTCATTCACTCGTGTTCTTGCCCTTAAAGAGAACAAATGTCAATACGAGATAATGGAGCAGGTGGACAACTTTCATTAGCGCTTTAATTTAATTTGCATCTTTATCTGAAGCTTTGATTGACAGTTTGACACTTGGCGGTGCGGCGCGCGCGCGGCTGCCCTCCGTGTTTCAGTGGACGTCCATCTCTCATTTGACCATTTTAAGACTCTTTAACATGCCGAACTGCTATGTGCCGCGCTGAAAACAGGACTGCTTTCGTCTGTCGGTAACCTCAGAATATAAAAGCGACAGTTTGGCGACATTTCATATCAGTTCTCTTCAGACGCGCGCAGAAATGGATCTTATGGGAATCTACCTGCTTCATCTCAGCTTTGCCGGTAGGTGATGTGCTGCATGCGCTTTTCATCTTCAATACTCGCCCACATCAAAGTTCTGAGCTGAAACAAAGCTGAGAGATTCTTTAATTATCTTTTCTTTATTGGTGTGCTCTTTCTTTCACCACAGGCGTTCTGTAGTAGCGGAATTTTTAAAGAGATTCGTGAGAATGAGTCGAACGATAACTTGATTGATTCGCTGTTGGTTTTATGGGCACATGTGTTTTTCGTTATTAGTCAGTTAATGAGGTGTTTACTCGGGTGTAAAAGGTTACAGCTTCATTTGCATTTGTTCTATGTCAAAAATTACACTTGATAAGAGGGCTATGTTAATTCACTGTAATAAAACTAAGACTTTAATTGCATAAATTATAATAATAAGTAAAAAAGTAATGTCAAGCTGTACAAAACAACGTTTTTATGTAGACCCCTTTGAATAGAGATGGTAATTCTGCGTGTCTCTGTGTGTCTGTGTATTATTTTACAACATAATTTCAATGTATATAAAATTCATATCCTGATGAACATGATGTGACTAGTGCGTTCAGTCTGCTTGATGACCTTAGAGTAGTTAGCAGTGATTTTTGTTAATGCAGGGTCACATCCAACAGAATATTAAAATGTAAACTCTGTCCCTATATAAAGGATGCAGTGTGTTGTCAGTAGTCCTGAAATTTGCAGCCTCAGTTGATTGAATTGGCTGTGTGTTTTAGCAGATTGGATTTGTGCGAAGGATGTCTCTGCTTTGCTGCTAATTTAATTAGATTTTCAGGTAGCTTGTGTATTAAATGAGTGTGTGCCTGTGTGTTGTTTTTGAATTCAAGGATGTACATACAGTATGCGTGGCATCATAACAAGGGCATTTGCATGTTTGGAAAAATGGATCCACAGATGAAAGCTTTGTGAAAATGAAATGAAACCACAAGAAGCAAATCAATAGCCTGGAAACATCATTTTCATTCATACATTTCAAAACATTACATTACTGTGCATTAATACACCAGTGTGAACACTTTAGCCATCTCTCCTTATCCAAAATAGCTGCTTTTTGTCAGAATGGATGCAGTGAAAGAGCAGAAAGTCTGGTTACTGATCATTTGCTCATAGGATAACAAATTGACTGGCAGTGATTTAAGAGTTTGTATTCTGTTTTCAACGGCAGTTATACAGTCAATTTTCTATTTAGTTTAATCAATTTGATTTTATTTGTATAACATTTAGGTTATTTTTACCTTCTGGTTTGTCCTTTCAAGCAATCAATCATCATTTCATATTACCCAGTAAACAGACAAAAGTAAGTCAGTATAGTGCAGTTAGACATGTTGCATCACCCAAAGTGATTAATAACTTCAATTCTTAAAAAAGGGTAAGACCATGCCAGACACAACAGTGGCACTATTTCTCCCACTTAAAGAAACAATATACTTATAACCCCTCACTTTATGTATGCCTGTCATATATAATCCTGTACATTTAAAATGTATTGGATCACTTTTATTAATAAAGGTTTCAAAAGGTTTTCAAACCATTTTCATAGAATTCTCTTCAAAGAGGCATTTCTTTTCATAATGTGAACTGAAGTTTAATAATATATACAACCTTAGTCTTTCTTAAAGAATCTTTAGTGGAATAAAAATGTTCTATGGATGATAAAGATGGTTCAACTATTGATGCCAATGAAGGACTTTTATTTTTAAGAGTGCATTTCAGATTTGTCTTCAGTAAAGAATTGTATACTTTGTTCAAAACTTTTGTGAAATAACCTGAATGTGAAATTTTCTCGAATTACAAAACATGTCATTCGAGGAACTATTGACTCCTCATTAAATAAAGCTGTTTAACTATGTTAAAAGTCACTAAATGGTGTTCACAGCCTATTTTAATTTGTTAAACCAAGATTTTTACTATACATACTGTAATTATTTACAGTATACCCAAATGCAATAGGATTGTTAATACAAATTCTCCTGTAATTATCCCTAAAACATAGAAACTTTAATCACCGAAGGCCTTATCGCTAAAGAAATAGAAGAACAGCTATAAAAATAATTAGAATAAGTTTCAGAATTGATGAATAATAAAATTATTGTCAGCCAATGATTCAAACTGCTTCATTTAAAGTAGCAGATGACATACTGTAATTGCAGTGTGTGCTTAGAATAGACATGGGTCAGTATAAGATGTGAGGTATGATAACCTTGTATAAACATATCACAGTTTCACGGTATTGGGATTACTGCTCTAAAATACAGATTTATTAAATGTCTGGGTAAAAGCACAAAATCTTTTTTTCCTTATAACACTATATATGTTATTTTATATTTTAATTTATATTTAAAATATATTAGAGCTGTAAATGTGTCAGGCTGAATAATTCAAATAAATCATTGACTTCTGCTGTATTCATTATTTTAAAAACACAGATTTCATTACATCTTTAAACAGCATCTTTGGACACTTTTCTGCTGGAGAGACCATTGTCCTAAACAAACAAACAAACAAACAAACAAACAAACAAACAAGCAAGCGAACAGCCCCCCCCCCCCCAAAAAAAATTAAAATAAAAAAAATAAAAAAAATATACCGTAGGAACGGTATAGCAGAACATTTTGGCAGTTTCAAAACCGCGATATACCTTGATAATGATTATCGCCCCATTCCTAGTTTAGAATGTATAATTCATTGCTGTGGATGCTAAATAGTAGTGTTTTAGTTAGCATTCTTAGTGTAAATGGGCCTTTACAGTGTGTAATACTTCATCCCCACTCCTTTTGTATTTTTCATAGTTAGGTCAAGTTGATCTTGAGTCAAGTGTCAAATCTCATTCCCCCATTATGAAAATCGAGACCTGTCTACCATTTCTAAAAATTTCTACATGCATATTATGTGATCTTGTGAATGTAGGAGTTAGTTCCAGTACTGTAGGTAATTCCACTGTCACTCAAGGCGACTGAAAAGCAGGCAGTTTGTCAGCGATTAGCCAAGGTAAAGATCGATTCATGCTCTGAGAGCTTGTAAATTAGGAACTCTATCAATGTCCATTAGCTCAAGCCATGACTGACATACAATATGCTAATTTTGACCTTGTTGTTAACAGAATCATGTCATTATCAGTATTGACATGGACCTACACTACAATTGATCATATGTAGTTCAGGTTCTAGAACATGCGTTCAGGCTTCAACTGAAATGTGCAGTTCAAAGCCATAATCAAACTGTAGAATTGTAGCCAGCAGCTTGAGGATCAGCTTCTCTCCACCAGCCGACTTAGTGTTTCTGCCTCTATCAATGTCGGACACATAATCTGCGCTCAATGTGATTCTTAATAAAGTGGCTTGCCAACACTTTTATGAAAGTCAGAGACATGTTTATGTTTAACTTAAGTAGCCATGTTAAGCTGCTATAAAGGTGCTGACATCAGTTGACTATGTTTACAACATTAAAACCCAGTGGGCACCTTGATGTCAAAATAATATAAAAAAAAAAACAGATAAAAAAACTTGTCAAAAATCGATTAGTTGGCAATCGACTAACTTGATGCAAAAACAACTTTGCATACACACCTTACATTGGTGTCAGAAGACCTATAATTGACCGTGTTTTTGACACCAATGTCTAATGTCAATTTGATGTTGTTATGTATTGATGGAATACAAAATCCAGCGGTAATCTTTAATCAAAGCTTTACGATTAATAAAACATACAACTTATTATATTATATTACTTTTTGCGTCTTTTTTTTGTTTGGTGGTTAAAAGTATGTCAATGTGTGGATGTCAAATGGATGTCAAGGTTTTCACATCAAATTGATTTGCATTTTTGACATGTTTCTTTGACATCATTATCAATGCTGTTGTGACATCAAGGTGCCTACTGGGGTAGGGCTGGGTTATTTGGCTTAAAATCTTGATTCATTTTAACATTTGTACTCAATTATGTTTAATGAAAGATTATTTTATTTATTTATTTATTTTATTGCTCTCATAGTTCACTGACAAGTTTTGGTCAGTAAATATGCTCATATATGGAAACACTCACAGGTCTACTATCTATGATTCTTTTTTTAACATCAATAATGAACATCTTAAATTAAAACACACATTGTCTAACAAGAACAGGCCCTTTATTCTTATATATTTTTTTAACAAATAGCCTGCAATTTTGGGCGTCACAGTGGAGCAGTGGGTTAAGCACGATTGCCTCACAGCAGTTTTGAGCCTCTACCGGGTCAGTTGGCAATTCTGTGTGGAGTTTGCATGTTTTCCCTGTGTTTGTGTGGGTTTCCTCCAGGTGCTCCGGTTTTCCTCACAGTCCAAAGACATTCGCTATAGGTGAATTGGGTTTGCTAAATTGTCCGTAGTGTACGTGTGTGAATGAGTGTGTATGGATGTTACCAGTTGGCAGTTCATTTCACTGTGGCAACCCCTGATTCATAAAGGGACTAAGCCGAAAAGAAAAGAAAATGAATGAATGAATAAACTTGCAATTTTGGAAACAAAACAAATTATTTTCAATGTTTTTCATATTAACAGTAGAAAATAAGCAGTATTTCTTAATGAAGTTTCTCTTGCATATCCCGTAAATAATATTTTAAACATTTACTGTAAACAAATATTTTAATGTAAATAATAATTTTGATGCCATTTCTCAAGGGATCTCTGACACAGCTTCCAATCATCGTCAAAGTAGTTCAAAATAAGGCTCAAGAATGGGTCAAGAAGGTCATAAAATTACAAAAGTCTTGTAATAACCCTCAATAACACTCCAGGGATTTCCAATGAGTGTCCCAGAATATATAGGATTAAAAGTCTCATTTATTTCGAAGGTTTTCTATAGTTTTACATTCATCCGTAGGCTGCATTATGCAAAACCGGTACAAACTTTATTTTGTGCAGGAATAAAGAAAGGAAAATAAAGCTGGAATTACTGACAACTCAGGCAGTTCAGAATCTGTTATTTCTTTTGGGAGACGATAGCTCCATTTTTCATGCACTTTGATCTTT